TTAAATTAATTTTATATAGCTGCCCATCTCACATATGTGATTCTGGGTAGCAAATAGTTTAAAAAGAACAGTACAACAAATAATAAAAAAAAATACCAACAAAAAGCATTAAAAACATTAAAAGCTAAAAAAAATAATTAAATTTCAGTTTTAAAAATATTCTTATTAACCATCCAAATTAAAAATCATTTCTACCATTTGATATAGAATTCTTAATATAGTATATTGGATACTGTCTATTTTATTATATTATTGGGTCTTCCCCATTTCCATTACATACCTAGATAAGAACACCCTACATTTTACCCTAACAGTATATTCTCACATGGGAATTCTAAAAGTTCTACTCCTAAAACATCTGAATGGCAAAAGGCTGGGGTTGGCTATGCTGTAACAATGACAAAGTGGACACATAATAGATCATAAAAAAAATTCAGTTTGTTATGTGACTGTATTAAGCAGCTGATACACTAAGAACTAACCAGAATTGAATGCTTACTTAATACATTTTTGTTCATGATCTTGATCCTGAACTATTTCAGCCTTTTGATTGACCAAGCAAGAGAACCTTCTTTTGTCATGCCTAAACAGTATTTCCATGGAGATGTCTCTCTGATGTCAGAGAGAGAAAATGTCCCATGCTGTATGACAGTTTTTTTTTTTCAAATTAAAAAATGGAATAGCAGACTACAAGTCTTAGCATAGCCTAACCCGAATGAATAGAACGTGCATAAAACTGGGAATAATAATAAAAAAAAGGTTTTTGTAATGACATAGTATCATTTGCATGGTGCCATCATTACACAAATGACATCATTTATGTGAATGTATGTCATTTGCATAGTGATGTAAAAGATATAATTTGACACATATGATGTAATTTGCAAAAGATCATAATGTAAATGATGTAAATCACTTTAATAACATACTTTCTTTTTTAATATTTTTATTGAAGAAATTTTTAACCAGATAAAAACAATACAAATGTTAGGAAAGAAACAAAGAAAATAAGAATAGTGAACAAGTAAGAAAGAAAAAAGAAAAAAGATTATAAAGAAGCACCTTCCAATCTTGACAGCAGTTATAAATGCATCTCATACTTTCATATTTAATGGACATTCTTGAAAATCAGCAGCCCTGTCCCCAGTTAATCTGTTAGAATGAAACCTCTAACCTTGGACATAGTTGTTTTAGATGGCCTCATCAAGGGAATACAGTTCTTTAGCTAGGTGAATTCCTTTCCTTTTTTTCTAAGTAGGTTTCCTTTTAGAAACCTAGAACCTATTTTGACTATTATTTTTGTATCACAATAATTGTCCTGGGCCTGGGTTAATGTGTTAGTGGAGCCCCTGTTCTGTATGTGTTTTATTGTTGTGGCTGTTTTTGTTTATTATGCTCTATTATGTTTCTAATTGTTTTAAATTTTATGTTGGGTGTTGTAAGCCACATTGAGTCTTTGGAATGGGGCGGCTATAACAAACCTAATTAAAATACTAATGCTCATGATGACGACGACGATGATGATGATGTAATTGTATGTTGCGTTATTTTCACAATCATTTCTCTTCATGTAATGTCATTGCCATTAACTGAATGGCTGTTTTATTTTGTATAGTTGTAGTTATAATTTATTGTAAAGTGTCTTGGAAACTTGAGAAAGATTTATAACTGAAATAATTCTTTTCCTCTTTTATTTGGCATTCGTTGTCAAGGTAGAGAAAAAAAGTTAAGCTAATTTTGAATTATCAATACTTAGACACCTATTTGTTCTTAACTGTTCCTCATTTACATTATTTTTAAAAAATCAGAGAGGAAATTGTTAGTTTTGTTCAAGTACAGTCTCCATGACAACAGTCTAATTAATCCCCATCAATCTGGCTTTGGTCCTCTTCACTGAACTTGTACTCCCCAGCTTCATTTCATGTGTCATATCTGCTAAGCACTGGATGAAGGTCACTTGTAGGTATGTTTATTCTTCATAAAAAAAAATAGTAATATATGTAAGCATTCTTCCCACTCTCCCATCTGGCTGGTTCTTCTTTCCTGTTTTGTTAGCAATGAACATTTTCTATTCTTAATTCAACTTTTAAGTGTTTATGTATCTCTGTCCATTATTTATAGAAATGAGATAACAGATATAACTAAAGCTATTTAAAGCAAAATGCATATGTAATGCCAGTGGCTAATTTCTTTTGATTCTGGATGAATCAGACATGCATCTCTTCCAACCTTTTTTGCATTACCAGGTTCAGTTATAAGTGACACCCTGAATAATCTTTTTGGAGGGGTTTTTTTTTTCCACTTTTCAGCCCAATTTTATTTTTATTTTTTTATGATTAGCATTTCCTTCATTAGCATGAAAGAAGATTGCCCCCCCCCTTTTTTTTTTGGTTTTTGTGTTGCAGATGCATTAATGTATGGATTGGGGCCATAAATCATGTAGGCTAGTCTTGAAGCAAGAGTGGTAAGTGCAGTGATGTGCACAAAAAACTGCAGAATAGGAGTACTGGTAGGGAAAGATTATTTGAAATAACTATCGTTGTTCCTCTTATGGAGAATGAGTAGCTGGCATGTCCAAATTGAATAAAATGGGATACATTTGGTGATATAACAACATGTTCCTTGAGAACTGAATCTTTATCTTTGCTGGGCCTCTGAACTTTACTGCTAAGCCTCTGAAATCTTTTTGAAGCATTTATTTATTGATCCATTTTTATTTATTTGTTTCATAAACTGCCTTGCTTCAGAGGTTTTAGGGGGTATACAAAATCCAACCAGTGTAAAACATAATATAATGAAAACAAACTAATCAATATGGATAGATCTTAATCAGCAAAAGCCATTCAAAAAAGCCAGATTTTAACTAAGAGTAGGGCCATTCTTGCTTCAGGAGTAGGCTATTTTAAGGGAGGATTGCTGCCACCTGGAAGTGCTTCCTTCATATCTTCTCATAATGTGTCTCCTAATACATGCAAACTATGTAATGTGGAAGAAATGAAGATGGTTTTGTTTACTCTTAAGATGTTTTGTTTTCTCCAGAGTGGACATTGAGAATGTAGCATGAAATTTCTGTTCTTCTCTCTCTTCCTTCCCTTCTCTGTCTACTTTCTCAAGATTGCTGTGTACACTGTATTTTGGCCTGCTTGTTCTGTGAATTCGTCACCCTCTGTGGCCTCATCCTGGAGCAAACATCATGTGGAGTCTGCACAGGAGTGGCCTGCTGCTGTGGGGAAGAAATGGGAGATGACTGCAACTGCCCATGTGACATGGACTGTGGCATTATGGATGCCTGTTGTGAATCAGCAGACTGTTTGGAAATCTGTATGGAATGTTGTGGGATTTGTTTCCCATCATAAGTTTCTATTTATCCTTTGTCTTTTTGTTGATGTTTTTCATGTCAGGGCTCTTATGTGCATCTCTATTTCTAATAAATTCTTTCAAAAGGCACTATTAAATGTTCTCACAGCAACCTACTTCTTCACACTGGTAATGTCATTGGAAAGAATTTTTGAATAGTAGGTCATAAGAATAAATGCAGGACAAATCATTCACACAAATGAAACAACAATCTGATGATTGTATCTGGAAAAAGACAGGAAGGCTAAATCCATTAAATTTTTTTGTTATTTGATCTTCGTTTTCAGAGCTGGACAATCAAACCATAATGTTGAAAAAAATTATTTTAGTGACTCTTGATTAGATAAATTTGTAACAACCTGTTTTCAAACAAATGCATTTTGCTTGATTTATTAAATATACTTTATATTAACTGGAATGTGAACTGCTTTATCTGATCTAGTAATATATATTATTAAAGTCTGAAGAGTAACCTTGTTCATGTTTTATAGTACACTTTTGTTCACATCTATTCTAAGTAATGATTGCAGTCTTAAAAGTAGTATTTACTTCTATAATTTTTGTATACCATATGTAATATTATAAAGAATTAGGGTTGGTTCTTCCTTCCTCTTTGAAAGAATAAGGCTAACTGTACAAGAATGCTTTCCTATGCAAAGAATAAAAAAGATTTAAGTAGAATTTTAAAAACCTTAAAATACTATATGAAATCATTATGCAAGACATTTTAAAACACTGTATAGATTTAATATAGTATTTGAAGTTCTTTAAAGGAGAAGGAATATATTTAGGAAAAGATAATGCATATCTTGATTTAAATATTCCTAAATTGTTCTCATACAGTAATTAAAATCTAGTCTAATGTTTTTAACCAGTAACAGAATTTTCCATATCTTGGAATATTGTAGTGTACATTATGTCTTCTTGGAATTTTTATTGAACTTAATAGCTTAAATATACTGTTTAGATCCTTTTAGCTATTTTCATTTGTGTCAGTATTTTCTGATCTCAATCATTATCAACTATTCATTTTCATTTAAAGAATAGTCCATCTTTATAGTAAATAAAAATGAAATAAAAATTAAAATCTGAATTAGAAGCACTGATTTATAAATATTTACTACCAAGTTGTTCCTGACAAGAAAATTTAAGATATTTATACATGTTCTCAATGTATCTGCTTGCATATGTTAAAAGCTATTAATGGTTACTATTCTCATTCATATTTGTTGATGCTGCAACAATCGTTCCACTCCCAGAAGGGGCCTCTGTTTGATTTTCCGTGATCTTCACTTATCCTTTGGTCTTTGGTTCATGTGAAATTCCTTGACCTTGAGTTTTAGTGCATTGGCAAATGAGTTAAGGGAAGAGCGGGAATAACTTCTGCCCAACCTTTTGATTAAATGGATATCTGAAAAATGCAGGTGGATCTCTGGACCCAAACGAGTGATTTTACACTGATAGAATTTAAAGAACATTTTATAGCCAGCATTTTTAACAAAGTTTAAATTGAGTAAACCAATAAGATCAGTCCGTAGGCTCTTAGTTATAAATTTTGAAAGGTTGAACCATACTTGGAAATGAAAGAGGCATTTGGATTGTGCCTTGAGTTATTCATTTGGGGTTCTTTAAGCATATGACTCTATTATTATGGCAAGCAAGAGATTTGTTACATATTGGAAGTTCTTTCCTATTACAGAGCAGACAGATCTTTGGATAAAGGGGAATATACACTGCCCCGAGCAGTCATGCTTTCAGCCATCTATTTAACACCACACAATTATGTTTACTTCATTATTTAAAATGGATTAGCAATGCCAAACAAAACATTACAGATCATTAGATGAAAAAAAAAGAACATATGTCCTCATCTTGTTTTTACTGCAACTACGCTACAGTAAGCTTTGCTTGGCTTTGTCTTGTTTAGAATAGGATTGTATATCAAGCTTCAGTTAATTCAGACATATAAATAACTTTTGTGGCTAATCTAGTACTATGTTTATCTGCTAAGACTAAGTTTTTATCAACTTGGTACTAGTGCATTTGCCATTTCGTGCTCTGTTGAATATTTCAAAATTGCATCATACCCTGTAGAGTATTATGTCATTTTGAAATTAAAAATATACTACCCATCCCATCTTAGAAAGTGATTATAGTTTTAAAACAAATGCAAGGGAAGTGTATCTATTTTGCTAAAATGTCAAACTACTTAAATATAATACTTCCATATGTATTCTTCAAATGGATATCTCTTTACTAGAACCTAGTACATCTGTGAAAACAGAGGTTTTCAGCAGAAACAGGATTACAAATGTTTCCATTAAGTTTAATTCTCCAGACTTTCTATTAACTTGTGTGTGCGTGTATATTTGTGACAGTGGTAATATTCAGAATATGATGATGGTTCTGTGAAGAAAGGAGGCAGTGCTTCCTTTTGGTTTCTGTTACAATCATGACTGATTATTCTGTTTGTTCACTTTGGAAACCTCGGATATTATGAGTGGAACAATTTAGCATAACTTTGTGAACTTCAAGATCTTGAAGAAATAGTTTTGGACACAGTAATTTTATTCAAATTATCTGTAATAAGTGCATTAAATAATCACTTTAATCACTTTGCAATTCTTTTTTATAAGGGATGGCAGGTAAAATTGCATGATTGCATTTGATGTTCCTTAGGTAATTAAAACTTTGTGTGTTAGCTTGAATATACAGTAGAAAATCTTATGTAATCTATATTCTCTACTTTGAAAGGGAGGTAGATGGCCAAGACTGAAGTTGACAGGAATATACATCTATTCTGCATGCATTCTTGGAGAGGAAAAGGAAGGAATCTTTAGTATTACTTCTTGTAACTTGGAACAGAACTATTCTGCTTATTTTCTCAGGATTATTTTGTATCATCTCTCCAACTCTTCTACAGTATGTCAGTATCTTAAGTTTTAGAAGCCTGAGACAAATATCTTCAGTAATAGTTTAGAAAAAAAATAGTTAATTTCTTGAAGTGGTATGTCCCACATATATTTTCCTTCTAGTCCTTTCAACTTTGGTTTAACAAAATTATGACACAATGATAGACCAAGCTTATGATACCCTTAATTTACTAACATAAATTCACAATTGGTTGAACTCATTCAACCAATTGAACCAACAAAGTAGACTGTATTATAATTGAATAAGTTATGGGAAGCTTGCTTTTCTAGAGAAAAGTGTGTGTTAGTCGTAAAGGTGGTCTATAATTCTTTGGTGAGAGCCAATTTGGTGTAGTGGTTAAGGCATCAGCCGAGAAACCAGGAGACCATGAGTTCTAGTCCTGCCTTAGACACAAAGCCAGATGGGTGACCTTGGGCCAGTCATTCCCTCTCAGCCCTAGGAAGCAGGTTGTGGCAAACCACTTCCAGAAAAAGTCTTGGCAAGAAAACTGCAGTCGCCAGGAGTCAACACTGATTTGAAGGGACCAAATTAAATAAATAAAGACTGGCCTACTTACCAGAATTCTTGAGAGTAGAAAAGATTTACCTACATACCATACACTATGGTTTACAAACACAATGATTTGGGTCACTAAACATATTATATCAAGTTCAAACAAACCAAATTATTGGTTAGAGTGATGTGTGAACTGAGTCTTAATCTGTCATGTTATTCTCAGTTCCTCAGCAAATTGCAATATGGTTTTGAACTTTCAGTGCTTAATTGCCATGCTATGGACTAACATCATTGTTCCACTCCCAAATTTTGATACAGTTCTAAAATATTGAGAAATGTTATATTTCAAGCTTTCTCTGTTTTTTAAAAGCATGTGATTTTTTTTTGCACTGGTATTTTCCACACAAAATTGTACAATAATATATTAAAAACTAAGGAAGAATCTACTATTATATGTTTAATACTTTATTTCCAGCTTCTGCACCAAGGCCAGCCTTCATTTATTTAGAGGTAAACATTCTTGAGGCATCCAAGGGGTGAAACACAATGTGTACTTAGAAACCTTTAAATGAAATGCAAAATCAGTTTAAAATAAGTGTTTTGGGGTCATAGCCTTTGTGCCCTGTAATAGTTGCTTTCAAATCACTCTGCCAACCTTTTGTTGCTTTGCTTACAACGGAGTCCTTGATTTGAAAATAGATGAAGTAGGCTTCAGCTGCATTTATGAGAAAATCATTGATTACTTCATTAAAAGTATATTTTTAAATCATTCTAAGGTCAACCATGCACATTCCATTTACAATCCTAAATTGCATACATTTACATCACAAACATCCCCCCTCCCTCCACTGCCCATGTATTTTCTTAATAGTTTTATGTGTTTACTGACTTTTCTTTAGAGCTGAATTGGCTAGTATTGTACTACAGTAGGAATGCTTTTTCCTATGTAGCAGCAGCGATCCCACTGCCCACGTGCTCAGAGATTCTGAGAAACAGCTAGACTGAATTCCGGTGTTTGCTTTTCAACAACTGCTTTTTCTCCAGTGTAGACTTACAAAGTAGTATTTTTATTTTGCTTATCTTGCAATATTGTAATGTTACATTTATAGAGCTGTCATGAGTTAGAGCAACTTTTACCAATTGTATTTTAACACCTTAAATCAGGAGCAGCCCTCTTATGACTTTATACTTGATTCTTTTCACAAGGGGAATGAGTTACAGATTTCGTCTTAGAGATGTCCTCGCTGGCTATTCTGTGCATACAATAGGAAGGCATTTGGACAATAATTTTTAAATTATAAGGCATCATTCAATAATGCTGTGCCTTATTTTAATTTTATTTTCCTCTTAAATGGGAGGCTTTGTTTATTAGTGACTGATACTTCTGCTGTGAGATATTTATTAAACATAGAGCTATCTGAGGGGGACGCGGTGGCGCAGTGGCTTAATGATGCTGAAAGTTGCCGGCCAGAAATGGTTGACACTTCAGCGGTTCGAGCCCAGCTTCATGCAGCAGAGTGAGCTCCTGCTTCCTCCCCAGCTCCTGTCAACCCAGCAGTTCAAATAGATAAATGGGTACTCTCACTCCAGTGGGAGGAAAAATGCTGGCGGTGCCTTGCAAAAGGAGACGGGAGCAGTTGCCAGTAGCGCGGAAGCCGCGCACGCCCGAAAAAGGTGTGAAGCAACGGAAACCCTGCCTCCTGCACTCGCCAGCTGGGCTCTGCTCTAGGAGGGAGGCACTGGCAAACCACTTCCGAAAACTCCTTGCCTTGAAAACTGCAAGGACTCGTCCAGGCAGTCACCGCGGAATTGGTAAC